GTTTCTCAGCGGATTTGGGCTGTACTCAGCAAGCGCAGTACAGACCCAAAGTCAGAACAAAAAAAAAATCAGAGGAAGACTGTTTTCTGAGCCGTCGGCTACCGCCGACCGGTCGGCCCCGATCGGTCGGTACAATACGGTCGGCGGTCGGCCCGAGCGGTCGGCAGGGATGCAACCCTGATCCTGTGGCTAAAAGCAACTCTCCATCTATTGGTGGGGAGCATCACCTGCTGGAAACCGGGTCCAGCGTCCCTTAGATACATCATTTTAGTACATCAATGAGAGTGACGCCACTGTGCTGGAAACCGGGTCCAGCGTCCCATACCTGATCTATGTGTCCAATCCACTCCTGCATTCCAGTCTCGTCCTGCAGCAGGGCCAGGGGCTGGGGGGAGACACTGGGGGGCACCAGTGAAGTCTCCCTTCGTCCCCTGGCCCCTGCCATCCTCCAACTATCCTCAGGGCGCCGGTTGCGTGGCTAAACGCACCTCAGTCTAGGAGGTTTGCAAATGCGGGGCATTGGACTCGTGGTGAATGTATCTGCCATTGCTCATGGTCAGATTCATCATGTCATACCACTCTGTATACTGTCATACAGATGAATTTGGAAAAACACAGTTCTCACGTGCAGTTAAAACTCCACTCACTATCGGCAAGAGAAAGCAAAACGGGGGAAAGAATATAAAATTCACGTGCTATAGACAAATGAATTTGTGCAACACATTTCTGCCATGTGGCCACAACTACACTCACTATTGCAAAGACGAAGGAAAAAAAAAAAGAACAATTTTTTTTTTTTTGAAATCTCACTCACTATAAATAGAACTGCGGTACCGGTCTTCCTTCAACTGAAAATTGTCCACAGCGTGCAGTGACTGCAGTCTGATCAATTTAATATCTGGTCCGTGGTCCTTTAGACCACCAAAAAAAGGGAAAAAAAAGTTCACGGCAAGCATGCGTGCTAAAATACCCACGTGCAGTTGAGACATGCAGCTGCATGCAACATGCATGGGCACAAAAAGAAAGACGGACAAAAAGAAACAGGGCAAACAGAAAGTTTGAAAAAAATTAATAAAAAATAACTCGGTCATTATAAATAGTAGAGCTGCTGTACTTGTCTTCCCCCCTGGACTGAAAATTGATTAGACCGTGCAGTCTGATCAATTTAATAATATTTTAATATCTGATCCGTGGTCCATCAGACCACCAAAAAAAAAAAAATTGTTTGAAGCCTGCACATGTGCCTAAATAGTAAATAGTAACTACCAACGTGCAGTTGAGACGTGCAGCTGCATGCAACATGCATGGTAGATAGGAGCATCCTCCAGTGGTAGGCCTCGTCATGACAGACAGCTCCAATTTATTGGTGGGGACCACCACCTGCTGGAAACCGGGTCCAGCGTCCCTTTGTAGAAAACTGCCGAGTTTATAAACAGCAGTGCACGTGCTTAGGCACTAGCGTGCTGAGACATGCACGCAAGTGTAAAAGTTATGGACAATGCTGAATGTGATTAGGCGCTCACGCGTTGAGACATGCTAGTAGTTTCCTTGTTTTAACTTCAATGCTGGATATTCTTTCATTTGCTACGATAAATGCACTTACATTCCACGATTCACAATATCCACAATATTCGATTGTAGCAAATGTTGGATCTTCTTTCATTTGCTACGATCGCAGATTTCAAACGCGTGACGGAGGTACTCCCTCCTTACATTCCACGATTCACAATATCCACAAAATATCCCTAGGCTATTTGTCCGGGCGCCCAGGCACCCAACTTGTGCCCAGATGCACACCCACTTGGGTGCCTGGCCAGGCCTCAACCCTGCCCAATATCCACAAAATATCCCTAGGCTGTTTGTCCGGGCACCCGGGCACCCGGGCACCCAACTTGTGCCCAGATGCACACCCACCTGGGTGCCTGGCCAGGCCTGAACCCCGCGCAGGGTTCCCGGGGTTCACCACCAGCCCCAGCGCCAAACAAACAAACAATCCTGGATAAGAAGTGTTGAGTAGATCTACTGTAGAATTACAATACAAACGACTTGTGTCATTCTAGAGTAGTCACAACAGTGTTCCTCACAGAATCGAATCAGAGTAAGGCACCCACCACCCCATTCAAGCTTAAACCCCTGGAGCAGACTACTCTAGAATGACACAAGAGTTCAGTCAGTGTTTGGGTTGTTGAAGGAGATTGCGAGTTGAGGAGCAGCCACTAACTATGGTAAGCGGCCACCCCTTCAGACCGGAAAGCGGCAACCCCTTCAGACCGGAGAAGACCGGTTTCGGGTGTAGACTGTGGAAGCACCGCATCCAATTCTCACAGCCGCAGTTGCTGCATCAAATGCACAGCGTCGACAGATATTACAGGCCACGTGGCTCCTACATCCTAGGAACACAGAGGTACACCAACCGCAATTGTAGAGGCCTTGCCGTTTCCAGCCCGTCCACAAATTGGAGTGTGTGTGTGTGTGTGTGTGGTGTGTGTGTGTGTGTGTGTGTGTGTGTGTGTGTGTGTGTGTGTGTTTTAGATTTTCCCCACAACAGCCCCAATTCC